TGGGTACTCAGATAATTTTCTTCATCTATCTATGGCACCGAATTTTTCTTCCTTTTCTTCCAGATCTTTATTATAATTGATAATTTGATTATTCATTTTCATTATTAGGGTTTGGTTACTTTTATTTGCAACACTTTATATGGGGTACTGATTGTTTGTTTTGCAACTATGATCTATAATCTTATAAATTTATAATAAATACTTTGTAACTACCTATTAGTTTTTACATGAAACCCTTTTTAAAGCGTTCATACAGGCGCGAGTTTTTTTTAAAATTTCATTTACGGAATGTGGGTTGAGCTACTTTACTTTGCAACTATCTAAACTGGGTATTCAAAATAAATGAAGAAAAAGGAAGAAGAAAATAAAAAAGAAAGAAAGAAAGCAGAAAGTAAGATAGAAGTGGTGAGAGAAGAGAGATAGGAAAAGGGCGTACATGAGCTTCTTGACTTCATAGGCAAGAGTTGGAGACGGTATGATAGCCCGTGAGACAGCTTGCAATTGGGTGAGGCCTGCACTGAAGAACACACAGTCAGTGCGATGTGCCGTCAAACACACACAAACACACACTCACATTCCTAACCTACCAACCTACTCTACACAATCTACAACTACTTTTTTTATTCTTTTCATAAACACTCAACTAAATCTACTATACCACTGTGAATTACGTTGTGGGTTATTCAAATAATACACTATGGATTTCTAAGTAAAATTACTAATACTAGTTTTGTTGATATGCTGAAATAGAAATTCATTATAGCAATCAAACAAATATTATAAGAGGAAATAAGTGCAGTCGTTACTGCAATTTTTTTCCAATTACGAAAATTCATTAAGCATGAAAATAGTAAAAATGGGGTTAAAATTTCAAATAATTAAGAACTGCATTGCAACCACTGCACATTAATTAAGAATAGTGTTATATTTATTTTAGAAAAAGTAATTTATTTTGTGTAATTTTGTATACAAATAAATAATTAAGGTTCAATTAAAGATTAGTTTTTTTCTATACAACTTTAGAGAAAAATTTGGTAGATATATTAGAAAGAAATCTTAACACACCCATTGCTAATTAATGGAAGATTTGATATTATGTAACGAAACTACATAGTGAAATAATGTAGAGTTAACCTAAAGTTTCTAAATAAGTCATTTGGCTCGAATTTAATCATAAATCTGCTGTAGGAACTATGCAAGTCCATATCTAACATTTCAGTTCGTAACCAGGTAACAAAAATGTATTTCAATGAGTGATCCGAACAGTTTGATGTCAAATATATAAAATTCTTTCAAAATTCGTTTCTATTCTATAAACCTTTAAATTTTTTTCCTGATCTTTTTGTATTAGATTATGGACTTGTTAATGACTATAATGCCTAGAAAGCAATGTTGAATAAGTCAGTTAGAAGAAGTGATAAATTTTCACTAATGGAATAATAAAATTAATTTTCTCCAATTTAGTATGCAATTGAAAGTGTGCATGTGCATGATTATCAATTTAACTTATGTACAAAGTATTTAGGCTTCGAACACTAGTGAACACGATAAAATGTTGATATTCTATAATTTACTCTAATAAATTTTTTTCTTTTTCAAACACCGAGCTAATTCCTTTAGTAAACAACATTTTACAGTTCATAGTTATTAGAATAGTTGTAAAAATATAAGATAACCAGTGATTTCAAGAATACACGATTGATTTAAAACGAAATTAACTGTAGCACTTTTTCATGGAAAACAGTTTTGTTTTTAAAATTCATATACATTTTGAAGTCAATTTTAGTATAAATTGCATGTTTTTTCTTTAAAGAAAAATTAAGAACAATTCTAGTTATTTGCCAGAATTAATTGTTTTACAGAATGATTTACAGAAAATCAGATTTTATCACTGAATAAATTTTTTTTCTCAACAGAATACAAGAAAATACAAAATGTAAATGTTTTGCTTCAAATATTAAGTAAGTTACTCACAGTTATTTCTTCCCTTGTATTATATTTCCCTACAGTTTCAATATGCACGTACTAAAACTTTTTTTTTATTGAAATTCAGCTAGGCCATGAACTTTTGAAATCACCGGATATAATAATGAACAATAATTACAGAATAATCAGACGTTCTTTTATTAGGTAATGTTAAACAGTAAGCATAGAATAGTTAGAACAATAATTCTTTTTCTATGCAATCTTGACAGTAATTATTGAATAATTAGAACAAAATTTATTTTCCTTTTCCGTAAAAAAGGTTTATTATTAAAATTAGGTAAGTTGTTTGCTTACAAAAATGCATTGAAACTGTGCTTGCTAAAAATTTGAAATGCGCTTACAAAATCGAAATCTTTTATGCGTAATCGTCTATTGTAGTTCCGTAATTAAGAGCACAGTCGCGTACTTGAAAATTTAATAAAAAAAATTCACTATTAATTGTTTTCAGAAATAAAGTTGTTTTCAAACATTTTAATTAATCAATTTAATTTTAAGAGTAATTTTAAAGCAAGTTTTAATAGTTTTTAAAAAAAGTAAAGTAAGCAATTTATTTATTATTTATTGAAAGATATTTCAATTAACTTACTACACGGATTAGAAAAAAAATATTGAAACACTTTTATACTAACTTTTTATATGATGTGTTTCGTTTAGCTACAAATGTTTTGGATAAAATTACATGGCAAATCTGTGGGCACAATTTGAAAGATTATTCCTTTAAGATTATAACATTTTTATCAATAGAACATTTTTAAGTAAAATTCGGATCGAGAAAAAAGGAGAGTAAGTTGACATTTCTTCTATTTTTTTATACCAGTTATTTTGAACTTTGTAATAAAACTATCACATTCCTATTAAATCAATAGGATTCCGATAGTTTCATTAGAATGTTGTTTTTAATTATTGTGTCATTAGAAAAGGGAAGAAGCCTTTAAATATCTACGCAATTTTGGTCGAAGCAAATTTTGCGATGGTAAAGAAGACATTATTTCTGAAAGCTTTAAGCATAATCTTTCACTTTATGGCAACAGTTATATCATGTAAACTTTCGCTGCTAAAAGAAATATTGTTCTCTTAGAGTTAGTATAGAAATGTTTCCCTAACTTCGTCCAACTCCTGTAAACAAATAGAGTTTAAGTTTAAATATTTTCGATAGAAAGTTATCTAATAAAGTCTTAGTTATACTCCTGTTCTTGCTCAAAGCACACTCGTTAAACTTATTCACTGCGTCAAAAAATTACTTACCTCAACGATTAAATAATGCTGTCTTTAAGTTAATATTTTTCTTTGAAACATCAACAAAAATTATTGCATCAAAGTTTCCATTTCGCTGTGCTCTTTTATTCTTAGAACTTTGCCACTTTCGCTTTAATTACGGAGCATTGTTTAAAGAGAAAGAGCAAGTTTTATTTGTTTCAACACATGAAAGACTACTTAGTTACACAGTCGAAAGCAGAAGGTCTAATAGTGTTTACTGTAGAACATACATTATGATGTAATTACATTTTCGAATCGTTTAATTTCCGGAACTAAATTTTTTCGGATTATTTGAGATGAATGTTGTTTGCAAATGACAAAGAAAGATTTAGAAGGAATTTGAGGTTAGGAGTAATCCATCAAGCTGGAAAAAAAGCAAATGCCCTGGGTTGATGGAATAGTTAAAGTGATGGATTGCTTGGATGTCACTGCTCGAAACATTTCTTCAAAAAATAGTGCCAATACTTGCTAACTTGTAAGAATAAGTCTAACGTGGACAGAAATTAAATTTTAAATATTTTAATATTGGAATACGGCATGTTTTTAAAATTGAAAATCCTATTGCCGAACAACGAATTTTAAATTCTAAGCAGAATAATTTTATTTCATGTTGCCTCAACTTGAATATCTCTGTAATTGCTAAAAAAAGTTGGTACGGGATTTTATTTTATTATTTTTTTACACCTAAGTAACATCTTTCTTTTTTTTATATCAGAGTCAAATGATTTATTTTTGATTACCAAGTTAGCGTTTATTTTCACTCTAAATTACCATCTTTAAGTGTTTTTTAAACCAAATAAATGCGTTTTATTTTTTTATTTTTACGTAAGTTGATGCATAAAGTTTCGTGCTTGAAAGTGTACAGGAACATGAACAGAATTGCTCTAATGAATTTCTTTGACTTAGAAGCAATTTATTGTTTTTCTTTAATAAAATTTAAGCATTCAAAATACTTTGTGAACTGGTTTTATAAAATTATTCTTAGTCGTTTTTTCGTTACTCTTAGATGCCACGTAACTAGAAATCGCTGAAATTAATCGAAAACTTTAAAATAAATGTTAGAAATTATGCTATCGTCGAGATTTAGTCAAAATCAGGTTTCTTTTAAATAAAGAAGAAGAATCTGCGAGGCAATGATTTTCATTTACTGATAAAGTAGGATATAAACGATTAAAATAAATTGCAAAAATTGCGAAAAAAAATTATTATCATTTCTTATGTTATTTTGTTTGAGCCTTTTCAGAATTTTCATTTATTCATCTTTTTATTTATTATACTTATTTGCCTTATGCTGTTAACAAAGCTTTGCTCGCAAGTACGTTATAAATATTTATTGCAAAAAAATATTTATTGCATGATATGATTTGGAATCGTAATTACGAAAATTTTAATAATAATGGAAAGATGAAAATTTTCACTATTTTGTAATTTCAATGTCATGATTTCAAAATCAAAATTAAAAATAAAATAAAAAATATCAGGATTTTCCAACTCGAATCTCCTCATTTTATGGTCTTCATTAAATTTTCGTTAAGATTTTCATAATGAATTTTAAAAATTCATTTTTTTTTCATTCATGTCAACTATGGTGTTCTGAAATTAATTTGAAAATAATTTTTGTTTCAGATATTTAACTGATCAAGGGAATTTCGCATGGAAAATAAAGTCAACGGATTTTTTACGCTAAATTTAATAAGAGTTTTAGCATAAATGTTACAATATGCAATAATAAAATAGAATTAAAACCTGGTATTTACCTGCTGTGCCTTTTTCTGTGGCCTGGTGATGAAATAGAGGTTAAGGAGTTGGCCTTTCCATCACTTCTCTTTCTTTCTCCGTTACGAGACGGCACAACGGCAATAGCTGGGGCTGAAATAAATTAAAATTATTTATTTTCCGCATGAATAACCTATAAAAGAACTGTTTTAAAATGTTAATTCGAAGTCTTCTGTTTAAGAAAAATAATTATAGTACTTTTGTAAGAGAATGTTTTATTGCCCAAAAATTTACAAACTTGTTGAAAGAGAGATTATTTATTTTCCGCGTAAATAACCTATAAAATAACTGTTTTAAAATGTCAATTCATTTTTTTCTATTTAGGAAGAGTAATTATAGTACTTTTGAAAGAAAATATTTTATTGCCCCAAAATTTACAAACTTGTTGAAAGAGAGATTGTTTATTTTCCGAATAAATAACCTATAAAAGAACTGTTTCAAAATGTCAATTCAATGTCTTCTGCTTAAGAAAAGTAATTATTGTACTTTTGTAAGAGAATGTTTTATTGCCCCAAAATTTACAAACTTGTTGAAAGAGAGATTATTCATTTTCCACATAAATAACCTAGAGATAGTTTTACTGCCCCAAAATTTGATAAAACTTGTTGAAAGAGAGATTATTTACTTTCCGCATAACTAACCTATAAAAGAACTATTTTAAAATATTAATTCAATGTTTTCTGTTTAAGAAAAGTAATTATAGTACATTCGTAAAAGAATGTTTTATTGTTATAAATTTGTTGAAATAGAGATTATTTATTTTCCGTATGAGTATTCTAAAGAACCACAGTTTTAAAATATAACCCAGTGAGTCCTGTTTAATGAGAGTGACTATATTATAGTATATTATAGTTATTTTGTAATAAAATATTTAATTCTCTCGAAATTAGTGAACTTGTTGAATTATGCGATGTTGCAAATTAGGCACATTCTGCTTTTTGTAAATTCAGAGTATTTGGCGGATGGATACGTAAATAGCAAATTTTCATACTTAAAAATTATTTAAAGCTTTAATTTTTTTCATGATTTTCTGTATTTTAGTTTAATGTAGATTTGATTTCAGAAAAGTTACAAAACGTAATTTAGTTTTTATTATTTAGATAACTACATGATTTGGTTTCTTTTTATAAAAATATTACATCTCCTTTTTAATATAAAACATTCTATATGGAGTAATATAGATATTCCATATTACTTTTTCTTCCTTTTTTTCCATAACTTAGCGAAAGAGCGTGTTGAGTTGATTTTATTTATATAAAAAATCAGTATTATTGATGCAATTAGCTTTAAAATGTAAAAATTATTTAGTTCATTTGTCTTAGAACATCGGCATTATTGGTTAAATTGTCTTTAGCATTGTTAAATTGATTAGCTTTTGAATGTCAACACCACTGAAGTGATTAGCTTCGTAACGCAGCAATATTGAATTGATTAATTTTCGAAAGTCAACATTGTTGAATAGATTATTTTAGACTAGATGATGTCTCACAAATATTGTTTTTCAGAAAATAATTTAAAGACTTGGTCAAATACAGTAATATTTTGTACTTTCAAACAACCATATCTTGTTTTTAAATCTGTAAAATAGATTTTTTTTTTCGAAACCTCATTTAACATATTCTCACTGCAACATCTAAAGCTACGGTTGCATTATGGTTTAGCTATTCTTATATTACTGCTTGAGTGCAATATTTATTTCAAATATATATGGTTTTTGCATAAAAAACACATAGTTAGCTAACCATAAAACGAGAAGATAAATGCTGAAGCTGCAGCCTTAATAGAGTAGCACTCAATATATCAATTAGATATTTATTTGAATTTTTTTCCAGTTTTGAAAAATCTTTTAATTGGATTTTACTGAAATTTTAATAATTCGCGGCATTTGCGACATTCTACAAGTGTTAGATGGACAGGAAATTTATAAAAAGTATATAGCTTCAGTATTGAGTTGTTGGACAAAGAGTAAAGGTTTCTATTTTTTGTTTGATTTTTTGTTCAGATTAATTGGCGATTATTGTGCAACTCGTGTGATAGATTTATACTTGCCAGGGTTAAAAAAGTATAATTAAATAAATATTACTGTGAATAACTGAATACGGAAAGATTTATCGTCTAATATTTTCAGAAATTTAAAAATTTAATCTTAAGTAACGCATAAAAGGAATTTTAAGGATTAAATCTCTATAATTAGGATTTAATCTCTATAAGTAACGCATTTCGGGATTTTTAATATTTATCTTTTAAATTTTATCAGAAGTATTGCTAACGAAAAATGTAATCGCAAATAATAAGTTAATCTTTTTAATTAAATTTAGTTTGAAAGACTATTTTGTACTGATTATTATCGCGTGATTGTCAGAATAATAGTTATAATATTTTCTATTTTAAAGCAGTATGCGTAAAATTTTTTTGTTAAGATACTTTAAAGTTTTTTTTAGCAAGAATGTAAATATATGTATCATCTTGATGCTTTTAAATTATCATGCTCTTGTGAAAAATTATTGCAATTTAAAAGCATCTCTTTATTTTTTTTTATGTTTGAAAAGAGTCTAAAATAGATTAAGTAATGATGTGCGTGCTTATCATTTTGTAAGAATAAATAAGCATTATTTGCATCCTCATGCACTTTAAAAGCATTTTCTTTCTGCCATGATAGTTTAAAACATCAAACTTAGACTTAGAAGCAGGGGAAGCACGTTTGAAAGGAAAGTGATATTAAAATTTAAAAGGAAGAAATGTCAAGATGCTTTTCTTTTTTTTCTTTTCATATATATCTTTTTTTGTCATAACGTAGCAAGTAGTAAACTTTATTTCAACTCAATATTTTTTTGTCAACTCGATATTTGTTTTTCTTTCTTGTTGAAAAAAGTAAACTAATAAAAAAAATTGAATAAAATTAATATCGATTAAACAACATTTGAACTAATAATCATTGTCACTGATAATAAATCTAACTATTATAGATGAAAATGGCTATGGAATAAAAATTTTAATTAATGTGCACGGTTACGCGAAGAAATAACGTTTTTCTAGAATACCAGTAGTTATTAGCATTTTCGCTTCCAATTGAGGAATCCTGTACACANATATAGAGGAAAAGGTGTAAATATGGGCACCCTCTTTTGTTTTTTGGATAAAGTTACTTTCAATTTGAAAATTTCTGGATTTTTATCTTTCATTAACAACTATAACAAGTTTCCTAAATGCGAGAGGGCAAAACAATGATTAACATCAATTATTTCATTTCAAAAACGACGATTTTCAAAAATCTTTTAAAAAAGCACCAGAAAAAATGGGGTGTAAATATGAGCCCTCTTCAAAAAAGCCACCAAAAATAGTTTAAAAACAGGATAAAACAATACAAAATTTTAGAGAATTTATTTATTACAGGAAAAAAGAATTATTTACAGAAATCGCAAAATAACTGGCTCTTTCACCCCCGGCACAGTGCCCACATTTGGCACATAACGCATCTTACCCACACCTCTCCTCGAGTGTCTTCAGAGAACTTTCCATCACAAAAGCTGCTAGTTGCATCGCTTGAGTCTGGTTTATCCCAACTGTTGACATTTATTAGATTCGTATCATCATCGCTGTAGATAAGAGGAGGGTCATCGAGTCTGATGAGTCCGATGATGAATCGTATCGTTGCGTGGGCCGAATTTTCTTTTTTTGAAGGCCTTTCGTCTTCACACCCTGCCCTCTGGCCGGTCTCTTACCCCGGGAAAACTCAAGGACGTCTTCTTGAGAGCACTTGTCAAGCGTCTTGGTCAACTGATCCTTGTATGGTAATCCGGTGATGAGGCTGGACCTTGCTGCTTTGCGTCCACGAGTAGTGATTATCTTCTTAATGTTGGGAACAGGAGATATGTCGAACGGAGAAATTGCACTTGAAGTTCCCGGGGAACATTGAGGTATTTCAGCTGCCTTATCAATTGGCATAACTAGAGCCTGATGTGCTAAACTCCACTAAAGAAAGTTGGTGTAATTATGGGCACCCTTTAAATGGGGGCCCATATTTACACCAACCCCACCTAAGAAGGATGACCACTATCACAAGTAACCTAAAAGCGTGCGTGACTAAAGGTGTGCTTCAAAAAATAGCTTAAGATCTCCGCTTTCCGGATATCACTGTCAAATTATTTCTAACTGAACATAAGTACGTGAAAAGAAAACGATTTCACATACCTCTCAAAAGTTTGCAGTCCAGAATAAGCACCAATTTGCACAATAACTCACGCTGCATCCACACTACTTGAAAAAATGGTTTCAACTGCTCTGTACAATCTTATGTTAGCAACTGGCGCCATATACAGTCCTTGCCGCCAGTCTTCAGTACCTCCCATAGCTACTAGGGAGGGGTACCCATATTTACACCTGTGCCCATTTTTACACCTTCTCTTCTACCAGTAGTTATTAGCATTTTCGCTTCCAATTGAGGAATCCTGTACACATAGCTATTTAATTTTTAAAATTTTTATCTCAAATAAAACTCGTCCGCTATTATTATAATTAATTATCAACATTTTTATTTTGATTATTAATAAGTTCCGACCTCCACTGTGCTCATCATCACGCTTACAAATGAATAAAAGTGGTTACAGATCGTTGATTTTCACCTATAAATTTGCCGAATTTCTGGGTTTTTAGGAACACTAATCACAGTAATTTTTACCAAAGCAATTCGTTAAGGATCTTTGTAAGATTAACAATAAAAAAAGGCGTTATAATTTGTGATAAAGTTTGTAAAATGAGGTAAAATTTGCTAATTTTATCATGATACCTTAGAACATGTTATAAAAATGATTTATTTTTCCATTTTGCATTTTTTACAAAATGTGTGGGAATAAGAACTATAATTCTGAAAGGCAGAATTTTCGGTAAGCCGTTGCACTGAAAAATGACCAAATGATTACTATACATCTTGGTTTTGTTTATATTTCTCTTTCTTTTTTCTTTTTTTGTTGTTGCTGCCAGAAACGTCATTATCATATAGTACTGTGATCTAACTGCTTTTTTTTTCTAAAAAAGAGTACGTACACTTTATAATTTTTTAATTTGCTTTAATGCTGTTCCTAACTTTTTAATTTGCTTTTAGATTTACTATCACTTGTATTGGTAGCAATCAAATAGATGAATATATAAGAGCTAAAATAAAGTGAATAATTAATTTTTATTGGAAGTGATTTTAATATTAAAAATTCTATAAGAAAGCAATTTTGAAAGTTTATATCAAAATCAAACAATAACAATATTAAACATTCAAATATGCATATAATAATATAACCATTCCGAATATTTGACATAGAACTTGGTCCAAACTTAAGATAAATAAACTTTTTATTAAACCTATAAACAACCTTTTATAAACAACATAGAAGTAGAATCACTGGACATACTTGATTTCCTTAAGAACAGTGAGGCCCAGACGTTTCTTTTAAACTTGCTTGCTGCTTCAAAAAGAAAATGAATAAGTTACTTTCGACTTGAGTCCAGATTTGAATAAGCGATAATGCGTGCTGCTAGGCAGAGGAGATAGAGAAACGACACAAGAAGCCAACGCCACCAAAAAACATACAAGTTTACAACAACACCGATATCTGCGTGTGAAGAACTTTAACATGGTAATTCAGAAAGTGTGCTGATATTTTTAAATTTATTAAAAACTAATACCTTAAAATGAGAAAAAGAACGCGATTTTCCTAAAAGGAAACGATTATTTAAAGGTTTAATTTGTAGAATAGTTTTCTTATTTTTAATTTTATTCCTTTTTTGAAAAAAAATTTAATATGAATTTTAAAGTCTAATAAATTTTGAAAGTGGGAAGAAGAATTCAATTTTAAAGTAAACGGTAACTTAATTCTTTTTGTTGAGTAGAATCAGATTCCTATTTTCAAGTTTGAGCTTCTGCTTTTGAAAAAAAAAAGCATTTTAATTTTAGCGTGGTAGACAAATGTAAACTTTAGTAATAGTTTGCAGTTTAAGCAAATTTCGAAACCGAGAAAAATAGTGGATTTTTTAAGAGAAAATGATTATTTAACTATTTTATTCGCATAATTGTCTTCTGAATTTCATTTTTAATCTTCCATTTTTTAAAAAATTTAAATATTTTAGAGTAATTGATAGTTTGCAAGTCAAAAAATAAGAAATAAAAATAAGAAAAAGAACGAGATATTTTGAGCAAACGATTATTTAAATATTTTACTTGTGGAATTCTTCAGTTATTTGTGACGTTTCAATTTCATAGTACTTGATAGTTCTACAGTAATAACTTGAACAAATTTTGAAGGCTAGTTTTAACGCTTGTTTTTTATTAAAACAAACAGATATAAATGCAAAACTTTCCTATGTTTGGTGATTTAGTGATAACAGCTTTACCGCACCATAAATGCAAATGAATTTATTATAGTTTTCATTTGTGACTTTGATAACATAGCAGTGAGGCTGGTAATTGTTAAATCCAAAACTCACTCAACTAATTGTTGGTACATTCATTTTATAGTATTCACGACGCCACGACATCATGATGTGCCCTTTACTTAAATGGTGCAGTTAGAATTAAATTATTTAGTCACGTAAGCCAAACACTTTTAACTGTAATGATGGTCAATTTTCATTCATTACAACAGTCTTAAGAGAGCTAATTTCAATGAGATTTACAATGTAACAAGAGTAGAGTTACTTGTGCCAATTACATTCTATTGAGTTTTATGTTAAATCAGAACAAATATTTGACAGTTATACTCATTAAGGTGTTAAAGTTATAAAAAATTATTTATAGTCTCTTTAAAATATTTCTGAACTGAAATTAGTAGTTCTTCTTTCATAATAAAAATTAAATATTAACCTCTATTAGTTTTTTATACCAAAGATGAGAGCTTAACATTGTCTTTGTTATGCATTGTTAAAATTTTATGCAAAATTGAAATTGCGTTCAAAGAAAAAAGTTTTAAATTGCAGGTTGGAATTTTGCCGTTAATTAATAAAGTTTAACCACTCATTCTAATTAGTTTCATCTTTGTCCTGTTTTTAACAACGTGATAATCAAAGTGCTATAATATTACTAGAGAGTAGAGGATTAGATTTTATTATTGAGCAAAAAGGAGATTTCAATATTGAAAGTATATCTATAAAAACATTAAAAATACGTCATAAAATTTTTATTTATAGCTAATTTTTTGAAATAACGTCTTCTGAAGCATTTAAAAATTTCCAAATCGTATATACTAAATCTCTTTCAATCTAAGAATTTAAAATTAGCGTGGGAAATGATAAGAAAAAATTATTTTAGAAAATTTTTTTGAAATCGGAATTTTCTTAGAGAAATTTAAAATAAACTCTTTATAAAATTGCACTAGTTTATGAAAATAAAACTTTCTTTTTTTAAAATATTGAGTTCTTCAAATTCAATTGCACTGTTAAGTGAAAATCTGGTAAACTCAGCAGAAATTAAAACTACTGCTTTATGCTTCGAATTATAACGAAACTATTGCTTTATTCTTTATTAGTAGTGAAACTAATAAAAATTGCGTTTTTATTTCTTTCGATAAACAAAACGGGTTACTTTAATTCAACTCTGAGTTGATTATGAAACATTAAATTTCAATAAAATGCTACTTAGCTTTAAAAGTTTATGTATGAACCCATTCTGAATTACTTTTTGATGAGAATTTAAAAGCTATGTTATTACATGATGTTTTAAGAGGGTTTCTCAAGTTTTAATAGGTTAGAAAAATGAATAATTTTGATTTCAATTCTAATTATCAATAATTTATCAAGAAAATAAACTAAATGAATTTAATTTAACTTTTTATGATTCATCAAATTTGGAAAAGAACTCTAAAGAAAATGCTCGATCCATATTTGGATATGGATCTAAGAAAGATATTACAAGGTATGTTGAGAGTGTTCTCTAAATGAAATAAAATAAAACGAATATTTTCAAATAACTGTTACTTTAAATTATTCCATCTGAACTAACGACATTTTATCCCACCTTTAAACTGCTGAAAAGTGTAATGTTTTTGCTTTACACAATTTATTATTACACGGATCATTAATTACTGTGTGCGCATTTTTTTACCAAATAATGAGCACTCAGATATCGGTGTTGGAAAATGTGAAGGCTTGCTTCGGAATGAAAGTTATAGTGCTTGTAAAGAGCATGAAGGTCATTAAACATGCGTATTCTCATTCGTGATTTGAACAGCTGCTGCGGCAAATGACACCCCGGCCGTTAGGTAAGCCCAATATTCTATATTAGTGCTTCATGCATACCACATATAAATGTCACTCATTAACAATGAAAATAAGAGAAATAATGTAGCTTCAGATAAATTTAAATTTAAACGGATTGTCTGCTTAGTAAATCCCCAAGAAGATAAACGAATTCTCAGCTTTTGCCTAATGCACCCCCACAATGCGTATATACTATTTAATTTTTAAAAT